GGAGAGAGAAAAGGAGTGGCAAAATAGAGGATGCTGGCAAAAGCAAAAAGAATAGGGGGAAAAAGTTGCAGTACAAAAGATAAAACAAAGAGAGGAGGCGTTAGTGTGGTAATTTGATAAACATATTCCATTTTTTGTATTGTTGGTGTGTGTTTAAATAGGAGCTGTCTCAAATGCCTGACTGAATCCATCAGTATTCGTAGATCTGAGACTGCTCATCTGTTTCAGTAATACCAATTGTTTGTGATAAGCCAGAGTAGAGATTATGGGATCACATAAGCAGCAGAAATTGATTTCTAGCATCTTTAATACCATCTAGATTTGAGGAAAAATTTGTAAGTTATTGACAACAGTATGCATCAGAAAAATAATTATTGTGAAGATCATTGATACAGAAAATGTCTCTGATGGATCCCTTCCTATATCTTCCATTTTGAAACAATGCAGAAACGTTTTTTATTTTTTACAAATAGTTGGAGGTTTTATTGTATTAACTTTATCTTTCAACATAAAGGGTTGTTGCCCCATATTCCTTGATATGTTTTGTCTGAGTTCTGCTCTGATTCAGCAATCCTCCAGGACTAGGCTGATATCTATTTATTTCCTTCCGAATCACGTTTTATTCTTCCAGATGTTACAATGCAGCATCTTTGTAATGGCCAGGAGATGTTCACAAGGATCCCATCTTTCCCCTTTGAAAAAGTTAAGGCTGCCTTCTAGAACTGTAGTGCTGCATTTTGAAACAGTTGATTTTTCTCTGAAGCATCAGTGAGTCACAGTAATATGTATAATGTAGAAATTAAGCTGCTTTCACTCCAAAAACTTCTTAAAAAAAACCAAAAAAACTAAGCAGACAGTATTACTGTTTAAAATCTTTGAGAGGGACCAAAACATTCTTAAGAGAAATTGCTTCTTACAAGTTCTGGACTGTGATAGTCTTAAGTAAAAGGAATAGGTAAGTAAGCAAAATTATGTAAGATCAAGAGTTGTTAGCAATCCCTTCTATCTGAAGAAACGTCTGTCCTGCTGTTGTTGGATGGGATTAACAAGAAACATCTCACTTTTGCCATTTCCTGTGTCAGCACTGGAGTTTGACAAGAAAAACCCAGCAGGCCCAGAAACTGCTTGCTTGAGTCTGCCTGCAAAAAAGGAAAATTCCCCCAAAGCAAGCGTGTTGTAAGACATGAATTCAGGCTGAAGTCACTGCTAGCACATGGGATCCTTGTGTTGATAGAAAGCTGTCTATCTAGTCTACCTGAAGCACTGCTTTAGGACAATTTAGCATTTCCTTTATCATTAATAGCTGGAGCTGGAAAAGCTCGAACAAGAGAAGCATATATCCCAAAGTGTAAAATATGTCTCCTCCAAAAACCTTGCACAGGAAAGTCAGTGTGACTGAAAATCAGAAGCAGAGTGTGCCCTTGTACGTGTGCTTGACTTTGTAAGGACTCTTGAGAGGCTGCTTCTTTCCCCACGCTGTCTGCATTGTCTCTGCTCCACTGCTTAGAGGCTCAAACAATTTGTCATCTGAATTTAAAAGCAACAGAAAATACCCGCTGTTTTGCCTTTGTCTCATCTGGTAGGCATGCAGCATTATCCCAATAGGAGTTTAAGATGATAAAACACCAAGTGAGATAGAAGGCAGACTGAAATGTTATATCGTCATTAAACTTACAGCACCCTTGGCTGTTGTGATGCATTTCTGCTATGTCGTAATCCTCAAATGAACACTTTGAAAGTAAATGAATGAAAATAGTACTATAGGTTAGAGAGGTGTTCGTTACCGCGGATGTTACAGATTTAGAAGCTTTCATTATTCCCCTTAAAATTGTATGTGTGCGTGTAGTAAAAACTCACTGGATATTTTCAGTTGTCTTCCTTCCCTTCAGACTGTGTGACTTCAGAGCTGTTAGAGTACGGTTTGTGATGGAGAGAACATCCAAAACTAAGGCTGTACCTTCACACCATAATGGGGTCAGATATCGCTCCATTCTCATTGTGCTGAGTGTTAGTCAGAAGCCAAATAAATCCAGCTGTCACGGCACTAGCTGGATTCGTGCTGTTTGCAGTAAAACTTCTACAGATTTTGATGAGCCAGGGGAAGCAGTGTTGTCATGCTGCTGACAGTTGGATGTAGGGCCTCGCTTTGTTTAACTAGATACATTAGTCACTGTGGAGAACGCTTTAAGATGTGTTAGAAGACATTGTCACCTCAGTGCATTGAAAAGTATTAGCAGAGCTTAGCAAGGCATCTGACGGTGATCAAATATTCGTCTTAAATTAAAAGCATGTTTAGGTATTCCGCTCAGCCTGTTCTTAGGTAGCTAATAATGGAGTTGGGTCCTCTTGCTTTATTTTCAGGATGACTTACTGAATCATGCATAGAATGATGTGACTAATTTGTGGAACAGAAGTCCCTGTGCATCATCTGTTCACTGTGGTTTTCCTGGGGGGGAAGATAGGACTTCTTATGTTGAAAGACACTGATCATTCTTTTCAGCATATCAAAGAGCAAATGTACTGTAGGCTTCTCCATTGGAAAAAAATAATAGAACAAATGGCTTTTATCTGTATTTCTATCATTACATCTGCATAAATCTCACTGATGCTTATGGGACTCCTAGCAACATAGCTAAAAGGCAGTCACACTGTCGATGAGATATGGAGCAAACCAGAACAAGGCACGACGCAGAAGTATGAGGGTTCATCCCTGTAGGGGCAACCTGCTGAGTTACACGCTTGCCTGCTTAGAATAAGCTATTGGCATGCAAAGCTAAGGCTCTCCAAAGTGAAGTACCTGACAGCAGCTGATGCAGTGGCTGTGCAGACTTACTGAGCTTTCTTGCTGCCCAGATGGATCTTTCCAGAGAAAAAATAGTTTGGTCTCTTCATCCTCCCTGCCATAGGTGCACATATGAAGTCTGTGGTGGAAGACACCCAGAAGGACAGTCCAAAATCCCCCGGGCTCTGTGACTGGGAAGGAATAGATGGGACTATGAGGGTTGGTCTAGAACTCTCAATTGTGGGCATAATGGGGTAAGCTGAAACCAGCGGGCTCACCTCAAAGAGTAGAAAAGAGGTGAGGGGACAGTGCAAAAGGGTCAGAAGCAGACTTGTAGGATCCTGTGGAGATTAAGAACGGAAAAGGAAAAACAGCAAGCAGCATGTTTTTAAAAGTATGTAGAAATACATGATAAAGGAGAAAAATAACAAAGAGCAATACAGTTAGTCTGTGCAACTGATCACAAATGGTAACATTATCGCTGTGAGCAGAAGAGGAAGGAAGTTTTAGGGGTGGACTCTAGGACAAAGGCGTTAACTGGAGTGGTCTGATACAGAACACAGGATTATTTATTCCAGTGTAAGCCATGGTGTTGACAAAGTCAGCATAGCATTCAGTTAGCTTTGTTCCTTGACAGTTTGAGATGATTTTGTCTAAAATACTGTTTGAGTTCTGCCCGAAGTTCTGTCCACAGACACTTGAAAACTGTAGACTAAAAACAGCAGACACACTGACACCAGTAATTGCTTTGACCTGTATTCAAATCTTAGGGGTTTTATTTTTTATCTTCTATTTTGCTACTTAAAATAGTATGGGTGTCCTCTTTATTAGTGTAACATACAGATTGTATGTTCAAAGTAAATAAAGAAATTAAGAACTTGTTCTGCAAGGGTACTTTAAAAGAAAAATTTTGCAAGGAATGGTTTTCATCAGCCCCTTTCCTAGGATTCCACCTGTAAATGCAGTTCTTGGACCCCTCTTGCTATCCAAGCTCAAGAAACTCAACATTGCCTTTTAAGACATAAGTCAGAAAGGCAGGCTTTCTGTAACATGAAGTGACTGCTGCTGTCTTTGATGTACCCTTCTTATTTTACCTGGGGCTGTGTGATACTACCTTTACTGTCCTACAGCCTCTTTAAGGTCTGCCAGCACGTTCTTTCTTGGGGAAAAAAAGCATATTGGGACATGTGCTTCTGAAAAAGCACTGTCTTGTAGTGTGATGTACTTGGATATTCTGAAGTCCACAGAGAAAAATAGCAAGTTGTCTTTTCATCCCAGAATATTCATAGTAAATAGAAAAATAAAAATCTTACTCCCCAAAGAATCCTTACTCCCCAGAGAAGTTCCTAAACAGGACTCCTGAGTGTATGCAAATAAAGATAAGTTCAGAGGGGTTCAGAGGGGTTGAAGAGGTATAGTTGAAGTATGCATAATTCTGCTTGTAGAGAAGCTGCCGAGACTACAGTAGAGAAGACTGGCAGTGATCTGAAAGTATCCCTGCTTCTCTGGTAGGAAAGTGACCACGCAACCTATGGTGATTCAGTAGAACTTTGCCATAAGCAGATTAGCTCCTAGCTGAGTTGACTGAACAAGGTAGAAGCTAATTTCCTTGCAGGAATGTAGGTGTGAGTCTTTAAATAAAAAGAACTGCTTTTGACTTCAAAACTGAGTCACCAGCAGTGATTAATTTTTGAAGAAGTCAATTTATCATAATTTAAAACTGTTTTGGAATAGTTGTTAATTCTTTCAAAAAGAGTATGTGCCCTTTCTATTTCTGCCTATATATTTCCTAATAGATAGTGAAACAGGGCTGAAAAGCCTATGAACACCATGGAGACTATTTCGTCAGCGTTGCATTGTGACACATTTGTGATCTTTTTTTTCTTTGCTTCCTTAACTTTTTTTTAACTTTCTTATTTCATTTCTGTTCAGCATGTGTGTTCATTTTAGTGACAATATAGTTCACCTTGTAAGTTTTTTAATGTTAACTTGCGAATACTACTCCGAGGCGCCTAACAGGCCTAATAACATATTAGCCACGTAGTCATCGTGCTTCCCACGTCAGCTGTAGAACACAGTAAATCTGTTGGAAGTACTTAGCATAAATCTGTTTCATTGAAATGACTATATAGTTTCACTTTGTCAAAATACCTACATGTTGGCTTTCTTTGCTGTTTAAATGCTGTTCTATTTGTTCCTAACTTCCCCTGTTTAACAGCAGACAGACCCAGGGAGCACTGAATGAATCGGATGATCCCGAAACAGGCTGTCTAACTGATAACAAGCCAACTTCTCGACACTTCTATCCTGTCGCCTTGCTGCTTGTCAGCTCACACTTGCTGGTTGTGTGGCTTATTTTAAGTCTTGCTTTGCTATTAGCCAAATATCAATGAACTTCACTTGTGTTCCTTTCTTTTCTACAAACAGCAACAAACTAACTTTAGAAAAAGGAATTATGCTGTAATATTTCTACAGTCTCAGACCCCAAGGATTCGTCTTTAAGATACAAATGTCTGAAATGTACTGTTTTTGTTACTTTTTTTCTGAACTTCTAAGATGTACACTATGCATTGAGTGAATTGATTTGCTCTTTCTGTTCATGGTGAAGCTTTCCCACTGTAATTAGCTCAAAGAAAGCCCGCTTACAATGCTGTCACTGTATAGAAGATGATGTGGAATCCTGAATGCTTGAACCCCTCTTTCCAAAGTAATTAGTCTGACAAAAAACGATTAAAAATGAATTTGCACAACACAAACTAACCCCTAGTCAAATATTACAGAGCGGTGGTTTGTGAGACTCAACTTTCATTGTGTTATTTCCATTGTTACTAGTTGATCGGATCTTTTTTGTTTAACAAATAATTATTACTTTGCTACAGCTAACCCTTTTTTGTCAAGTAACTAAATGGAATAGAGTATGTTCTGTTTTGTAATGAAATTAACCTGTTTGTAACTGTTGCTTTAGTTGCTTTTGCTTTCAAGACACTTTTATATTCTTTTTAACAAAGTCTTGTTTATGTCTTGATGCACCACTTTGGCACTTGTGACTTTTGTACTGTATGTGAACAAATCCTTCCTTTATAAAGTAGAGAGTTGGATTGGGTTGTTTGAAAAGCCATTCTCTCTTTTTTTTCATTGCAAAGCTGAAGACACAGGAAATGCAGCAGAGGTGAAACTTTTCATCACAAATCTTTAGGGCCAGACTTAATAAAATGCCTTATTCCTAGAATTTTTAGGGCAACATGTACTCTCGCGCATATAGCAAACAATTTGAAAAAAAGTATGAGACGATCTAAAAGGCAGATATATTTCTGGAATTAGAACAAAGTGTATCATTAAAGTATTTAAATTTTTTTTACTAAACTTGAAACCTCAAGGGCAAATATATTGGGGGGGGGAATCTTTATCACCTATTTCTGAGGGCAATAACTGTACTGGGCCTGGCCTTGGATTTAATTTTGTAAGATGTATCATCACTTGTGGAAAACAAAAATGTAGAACTGAATCTTTGTTATTTTTACTTCAACTGTTGCTGAAACTCTGCAATGAACAAATAAAGCATATTTATTTATTCTGTGTTTCATGAAGTTGTACTTTTTCCCCCCTTTCACTAGAGAAGGATGCCGCATAGAGAATGTACTGAAGAATGTCAAATGCAGAAAGTATGCATTCAACATGATACAGCTGATGGCTTTCCCAAAGTACTACAGACCTCCAGAAGGGACATATGGAAAAGCTGACACCTAAGCTTAACAAAAACGTAATCAGGAATATACATCATGCTAATTAGTGAAGATAAAAATCACTGTGTATGACTTATTAATTGGGAATGTGTAACCAGTTGAGGTGTTATTTTTATCAGGTTTTATCATTTTACATTAAAATAACTCCAGTTAGTCACTATGAAATAAAATATCATGAAAAACCAATGGATTGAATATTCTCAAAACCAAATATATTCAACTTTTCTTTGTGAAGTTGAAGCTTAGTATGATTCATAAGCCAGCTGGAATTAGTTTTTTGGATTGTTTGATTGAAGATTAGAAAGGGATATGTCAATTGCTGTAGGAACTGAGGTTAGCAGTCTGGAAGGTGGTATTCCGACTCTGAATCAAAACCTGAGATTTGATTTAGGGGGTCTCTTACTGCTGGAAATGGTGTTTTCTGGAACCAGTGTAGCACCAAGGTCTTGATCACTAATGATTAAATGCTTCAGAGAAGTGTTTATGAAAGATCCTAATGCTAATACCTGGGCTAAATATAATTTTGGTAATTACGTTTAGCTTCTTTACTTAAGCATGGTAACTTCATAATATGTTTTTAGTAATTACAGCATGTAATTTCAGTAATTCCGTTCTGATTCCTTGCAGTTCATTTGGATGTATCATTCTTGGCTTTCTGTGCCACAGCCAAATACCACTTATTTCACTTTCACATAAATCACATTGAAATCAGGTGGATTAATTCTTCAAGTAAGGTGACCTGAATTTGACCTGTCATATTCCCATTTACTGTAAACCCTTAAAACTAAATTTTCTTTAGTGGTAGGGGAAGTGAGTTGTATATACGGGAGCTGATGTATCTTTAGGCTATAAAAACATGTATATTTTTACACAGCCTAAGATAAATGTTATAATTATGAGTAACCTGCTGTACTAGGACTAGTTAGCCACTGCAGCTGATTTATATCAAATTTGTAATGCTGCATGTAGACACTCTAGAATGAAGAACTATCAGCTATAAAAATGAATGTCAGTGCTTCTGCCAGCTTGTGTTAGTCCTGAAATTTGTCTTGCAAAGAACATTTGTGTTTTCTAATTGTATCTATTTATTGCCTCCTTGTGCCTCCGAGAGAAACACAATTAAAAAACCCCAAGTATTCACTGGTTACTGACCTTTATGTAATGCATTCATTTTAAGAAAAAAATATCTGCAGTAGAAGTGTGAGAATTTTATCCTAATGAAACAGCACTAGGAATGTAAGCATCTGTAGGAAATTATAATTGTGATGGATAAAGAAGTTAATGTTTGCCTGCTCCTATGGAAGTCAAAGAAATCTTGATGCACCGTGAGTTATAATTTGTTCTTTTTAATCCTTTAATGCCCATTACTGAATATAAATCTGTAATTATATTAGCAAAAATATATATTTAAAAGCCTGATTCTGCAAACTCTAACTGGGTGATTACATGGAAATGATCCATTGTGTGAATAACATTAAAGCCATCTTATATATTTGCAAGATAAGGCTTTGGGGCTCATAGGAGAACATCAGGGAGAGATTCTCGTTCCAATATTCATTGACTTCAGTGAAGCCAGGAATTCACTTATGCAATATATTTACCCAACTAATTAGAACTTTTTTCCAAAGTAGGTCATTTAAATAGTATTTTGATGCATTTGTGGTTTATTTCTATTATGTAATGTGGTTTCACAAATGACTTCTTTGTTATTCTGGAATGTATTACTTCCGCAATAGATGTCAGAAGGGTTGGCATTGCATCATAGATAAGCTCAAGCAGATGGAAATATAATGCCTTGATTTTTTCTGTCGTGTACCAGTAGAAGTGGGCACTGCTCATTGGGTGGGTGGACGTGTGCACAAATTTGTGTTTGAGTCTCTAAGTATAACATAGCTGATCTGTACAAAACTTTTTTTGTGGATTTATGGAACGTAAATCTTACTAAAAAAGTAATGTTTTGTTCTGTCAGACTGCCACACTAGCCCTCATGCCATGTTTATTGTTAGCTTAAAAATACCCTAAGTGTGCAGTTTAGAAATAGTAATAAATTCCTCATGCACCTCTGAAATAATCCCACAGAAGTATAAAAGAGAATGCTGGCCTTCCTACAGTGATTCGTGGTGGGCCCTATAGATTCCTATAGTTCTTTATCTTAGTCCCATGGGTATTCTGTCAAGTTCAAAATATGAAATTCTATAGATTTACTTCTTATCAGGAAAATCTTTCAAGATCTCACCTCAGCATCTTAATCCCACTTGGGTTCTAAATTGCGGTTGTGACTATCATGTTACTTTTGTATTTAAGATGTTTTCCACATTGAAGCCATGTTTTTGGAGGAGGGGGAGAAGAAACAATGGCATTAGATTACTGTCCTTTTTGTTTACACAGCCACTCCCAATATGTTCTTGTGAAATTAAATAATTTGTTACTTGTTAAAGATAATTCAGAAAAACCCCAAAACCCACATCAGGGTGCTGCAGTGAAACTTCATTGGGCTTGAGCCATTATAGAAGAGTACTCTGGGTTTTGTGCTAAATAAGGCTGAACTTTTTCAAGCCAATTTTTTGATTGGAACATCTTTTTGTAGGTCATGAGAACCTTGTAAAATCCAGTGATATGGTTCCAAGTCTAGTGGAAGAGCCTTGTTGATTCAGTACTGAAACAGGCTCAAATTTTTCCTTCTTTTGGTCATTGCCTACTGTGCATTACGGCAGCCCATATATGCAAAGGCTATGTCATTAAAACGGGGTTGTCAGCTAAGCATGGATTCAAAACTAGTGTTTTTTCTGGTTTGCCTTGTATGAAGAAACAAAGGGGGTTTTGCTGCAGGTTGATGGCTACGTTACCTGGAGTGCATTTACTCTTTGTAGAAGCTGCTTCAAGCCTTGTGCATTGTTTGAATTCCTAACAGAGAAGTTAAATGATCCCTGAGGTCTTGTACATATCCTTGTAGTTCACTGTTAATATCAGAGGAGTAGAATTACACAAATGAATTTTTATGAGCAAGCTACGCCCTTTGTTTTGCAAAGTGTTAAGGGAAACATACTGACCTTGGTGGTGGATTCACAGAAGATGTTCCATATCTGCTCTCTTAAAATTTCTGTAAGGTACAAAATTTGCTTTGAGGGGAGAGCAATTCTGAAGGGCTAGAAGATAAACATTCAAAAATATAGCTGGCATCTAAAGCCAAATCCTGTCGTACTCATAGAAGATATTATTTGTAGAAATAAAGTCATCAGGATCTGCCTTGAGGAATCCTGAAATAAAGGCTTCTAGCTTTGAATATTTGTACAATGTGTTATATGCTTATATGGTGGTTTTGTATCACAGACTAGTATCTAAATGGAGAGCTAGTATAAAATGTCTAAAAATATAAGGAAAGGAAAGTTAAAGTAATTTTTTCCTCAGAGATTATTTTAATACTGCTATACTACATGACACGCATAGGCCTGACATTATTAAGCAGGCAGGTCTTTTTTTCTGAAGTCTTCTTTTAGGATATTTAAAGTATGTTCTTGTCAGTGTTTAAACTTTGGCTTTTATGGAGCAATTAGGAAACAGAAATTTTTAATTACGTTATCAGATTTTTGTCTGTGTGAATCTGTGTATTTTGAGGGAATGCTAGCAATGTGTGTGTTATAAAGAAAAAA